GATCCTATGGAAATTCTATTTTTAAATTCTTTGGGAAGTTGTCATATTGTTTTCTGTAGCAGCTACACCGTTTTACATTCCCACCATCAGTAAACAAAAGTTCCAACTTCTCCACAACCTCACCAACTCACTTTCTGAGCTTTTGTTTTTCACAGTGGTCATCTTGGGGGACAGGGGGTGGTATCTCAGTGTGGTGTTGGTTTGTATTTCCCAATGATTAGTGATCTTAAGCATCTTTTAAGTCTATTGACCATCTGTTTATCATCTTTGGAGAAATATATATTCAAATCCTTTGTTCAATTTTTAAGTGGGTTTTTGGTATTTGTTGTGGATTTTGCTCTTTTGTTCAAGTGGTTTTCTAATTTATTTATTTTAGTTTTCACATTTAATTTTATTTAGTTTTATAGTTTTAATCTTTATAGTTTTCATATTTAATTTTAAATTAAGTAGTAAATAATTTTATTAATAATTTTTTTGTAAATACATCTAAAATGATAAACTTTCTTTGTAGTAGAAATTTTTCCTTCCCTGTGGATTTTGTTACAAAAATGTGTCATTTTTATCTTTAAAATATTTTATAACTCAGTTTTGATTTTTTTTCCAAATATTGTCTATTAATACATTTCTTAGTCTCAACTGATTCCTTCCTTATTTTTTGGTCTTTCATTTCTTAATTAGGAAATGAAATACTTTGATCTTTTTTGAATTATATTGATAAAGGAATGGGAAGTAAAAATCAATACTTTATAGGATATGTTAAAGTTGTATTTGTGACCACATACATGATCATTTTTGTAAATATAGGCTTTTTATTCAATCATTTTATATCATATCAACATATGATAATCTGTAAATATCTTTTAAATCAAGCATTCTGCTCATATTCCTGAATTTTTTTCTTTTTTTTTTAGACAAAGTCTTACTATGTCACCCTCGGTAGAGTGCCATGAAGTCACAACTCACAGCAACCACCAACTCTTGGGCTTAAGCGATTCTCTTGCCTTAGCCTCCCAAGTAGCTAAGACTACAGACGCCTGCCACAACACCTGGCTATTTTTTGGTTGTAGTTGTCATTGTTGCTTAGCAGGCCTGGGCCAGGTTCAAACCCACCACCCTAGGTGTATGTGGCCAGTGCCTTGCTGACTGAGCTACAGGCACCACCATATTACTGAATTTTTTATGGGCTTTCTCAGTGCTTGCTAGAACTATTGTTATACCCTTTCTTTCTTAATGCTAAATGTTACTTTGTTTCACATGGAAATTTTAATCTGTAAGTTTATATGGAGATTAGTTATACTACTATGTATGGTTTTCAATAGCGCCTGACTTGTGGTGTGGCTGGAGCCTGTGTTAGCATCTCTGACCACCGAGTGAATGGGTGATAGTAAAGAAAATTGCCTCCTTGGGAATTCCACATAGCCTATACCTTTTATTGTTGAAATAGTATTGATAAAAGTCTAACATTGTGGAAAGACATAAACGTGTGACCCTTATACCACCACTGCTTAGGACAGATACCATCTTGTATGCTCTTGATAACATAACTCCTAATTTGTTTAGATACATTTTCCAGGTTCCTCTTCAATTTTCCCATTCTTTTACTTTTGAACTTCCTTAACATCTTATTTTACATGTGGTTTTAGGCCAATATGGTAGTCTGATTTTTAATGAAAGAATGCAGTCTGTTTATGTTGTATAATAGTTGATATACAGTAGAAACTCCATACTTGACCACCTCCCTGCATTTGCCACATTCTTAGGTTGACCTAATTTTCATCAACTTAACATGCACACATACATATCAGTATAATAGGCCTAGTTCCTTATGTTGACACCTCCATATGTTGACCAGTTTTTTACAATCCCTTGCATAGTCAACTTATAGAGGTTCTATTGTATTTGATATTTTTTCCTGGTATACTCTAAGCAATTTATTTACTTGTTGTAGAAGCATTATAGTATAGTAGCGAAAGCACAGACTCTGGAACACACTACCTTAGCTAAAATTTCAACTACCACTTTCAAGCTGGACACGTTAATTAACATAGATTACTTCAATTTTCTCATCTGTAAGACATGCAATACTTCCCTCACAGAATTTTAGTGAGAATTAAACAAATGAACATAGTAAAGTACTCTATACCTTTCGGCTACCCTTACTATTTACTTTGGCATTCTTTCCCATAGTTTGCTAATTTGATCAATACCTTTTATTTCTTCTTTTTCTAATTAGGAACCTGTATAATTTTGTGAAACATATATTTGGTCTTTGGCCCTGTTTCCTGGTATACGACTCCTAAAATCCTTAGAATCTCTTTTTGTATGCTAATGATTGATAGATTGAAAACTTCAGGATAGAGCTGGTCATAGGAAAGACCAAGGTGGAAAGGGTAGGAGAGAGGCTGCAGGTTAAATTGGTTTCCAGTGGCCAATGATTTAATCATCCACACCTATTTAATGGAGCTTCCACAAAAGCCCAAAAGGACTGGATTCAGGAAACTTCCAGAACCCATGAACACATGGAAGTTTCTAGAGGGTGATGCCCAGGGAGGGCATAGAAAATCTGTACATGACATTTCTAGAGGGTGGTGTCCAGGGACAGCATGGAAGATCTGCACAATTTCCCCCATCCTTCACCCTAGGTATCTCTTCATCCATAAATATAAGTATTTTCCTGAGTTTTGAGCCACTTTAGCAAATTAATCAAACCCAAAGAGGGAGCTATAGGAATGCCCAATTTACGGCCAATTGGTAAGAAACATAGCCAGCAAACTTAAGCTTGTGATCAGCATCCAGTTGGGTAAGGTAGTCCTATGGGACCAAGTCCTCAACCTGTGGGATCTGATGCTACCTCCAGGTAAATTGTGCCAGAATTAAAATGAATTAAGACACCCAGCTAGACCCCACTGCAGAATTGATTGATGGGTACATAGGTGGTGAACTCCCCTCCAAAAACACATTTG